AGAAGTATTATTTTAAGCAACACATTAAGTTGACGAAACACTCGAGTCAAATTCTCCTAATTAAAGTCAGATCCACTCGTGCCTTGGACGGGGCAGTGATTTCATAAACCTGTTAATGTACGCATTCAAACGCTTTTTCTTTTACCAGCTGTATTCACCTTGCAGGTGCAGCTATGTGGCTTTTATCCTGGATAAAGTGTTTAAGTCATGGATGTTTAAAGTTTAACTTCTTCATATTTGACTAATATTAAAGTTCACTTTTCATTCAGGAAGTATGACGCTGCGCTGTCAGTACGCTTGTCCGTGTTTGAGATTGGTCGAATGCTCCAAATACCACCCCTTTCATGTGAACGCGCACCTAACTAGATAGGACACGGCTGGCTTGAGCGATCCACCTGATAACCAGCGTCGTAGTACAGTTTAGCCAGAGCGCGTATGTTTTGGATTGGGCCAACCGGCTAACTCAAACATATCCAGGTTAGGAAGATCCGGCTTCGTAGTACAGGCCTCAGGTGTTCTGAAGCATACTTGTATGTTTTCTGTTTTGAGTGTGTGTGGGTGTGTCAAATATTGAATGCCTGAAAGCTGAAAACAATTAGACTGCCCCTTTATTGATTCAAGTATAAATGTGTTCATTCTATCATAATAAAGCACCACTTATGTGTGTATGCGTTTTTTTGTTTGGGTGGGCGGGTACAATTACATGTGTGTGTCCGCCTTGATCTTGAACTTAAAGAAGAACGCTAACATCAGACAGATTTTTTGTAGGTATAGACCGAAAGATACGAGAAGTGATGAATGAAAACAACCCTTTTTTTGTTTTTTTACATGTTCACTCATTTTAGAGTGCTGCCAAAAGTCCTGTTTGGACCTTCAGGTAGAGTTTATTGTGTTGCTACTGATGTGCCGGTAACATTACTGTGTGCTGTTTTGATGGGTAATAGACCTGAAAAGCACTTTACCTCAATTCACCATTTCAGTAGTTGCACCTCTCGAGAAAAAGAATAGGAGATATGAGGAAACGGTTCAGAAAACATTAGTGTTGACGGACTCGTATGAAAGCCTTCTGTCAGCTGTTGAATTTGGTTCATTTTGGCCAAAACTTTACTAAAAGAGTATGAGTGGGGTGGATGTCCCTGTTTTCACTCAAGCTCCATTGTTCACCCTTAGTTATAAAGCTGAGAGACAACCTCCACTGTGCTGTTTAGTCATTTCTCAAAAGCTTTTCTTTCTTTACAATACTACAATAAGGAAGCAAGCATTCATTTAGAAAAGTGAACAATGTATGATGTTTTCTTTTCGGAAAACAATTATTTTTGTTGTTGCTGTTGTGCTTTCATCTCTGTAAAGGCCTCAACTGACCATAAATACACTAGTCAAACTTTATTTATTTTTAGAGTGGAAATGTTAACTAAAAGTGGAATTTTCCATGATTCTGTAAAGCAAACACTGATAAAAGGCAGTTTTTAGAGGATAAAAAACACAGAAATCAAGTATGTCAGATTTGTTTTGATGGTAATACTTAGTTTATTGATATTCCTTGCTTGTAAGCTTTTTATATTTAAATTTGGTTGATTATATTGGTCATTATTCGCTGTATACATTTCAGTTGTGGAAGTAGCATTACAATCGTATTTACTCAAGCAACAGAAACAAAACCACAATGTTAAACATCTTTGAAACAAGTAAATGTCCTCAATTTTTTAACTTTTATGGAAAGACACGACAGCTAAATATTGAATAATGATCAACATGACACTTTTGCCTGTTAATGACTTAGCCTACCTTAAGACATTCATTTGTTTGTATGCAATGCAAAGGAAATGTGCAACAACTAGCTCTAAAATGCAATTAATTGCGAAAGAAAAGTATTCAAAGTAAAATGTCTCGTTGAACTTTTCTCAAACCTCGATCTCTATTATTCTCTTTATACAATTATATGTTGATCAGTTTAACCCTTTCAATTAACCGAGTGATTACATAAGCGGTTGAATCTGTCTGATAAGTGAAGCCATCTGGTTTCCTAAGCTTCTTGTCTGCAGGCCTTCTTATCGCTGGTGTCCCACTTTCTAATTACAATATATAAATATCAAAAATAGAAGAAGTAAACACACACATCCGACAGCTCGCTCAGCCGTAACGTTAGATGTCCTATCTGCCTATTAACCCACGGGGTGCCCTAAACAAGGCTGTGTCATCTCCCATCATATTTATCAGAGCGCCTGCTACTGTATGTGCATAACAACATTATCTATGTTAATGTTGTGGCCGTGCATTGGTGTAGGAATTTGCCTGGAGCAAGGCGGGAAGAGAAACAGAGAGAGACACTGACACATTCTTAAAGAGAGGGAGGATTTCAAATAGAGAGAGAGAAAATAACCTTTGAAATAATTCTCTCTTCAATTTCCCCATGTTTGAAACACTGGGTTTATCCCAATGGCCCATTATGAAACTCAGAGACAAAAGCGTTCTAATCCTGGCTCTTCTGCACTGCCTTTGATGGCTGACTGCAAGTCAATGAGTGTGTTTTTGTGTGTGTTTGACTCCTATATAAGTGTGCTTGTGTGTGTGCACCAAGCTGCATACTGAGTAGTCCTACGGCGCTCAGTGGTGGGCATGTGTGTGTTTGTATCAGCGCAATCCTGGGTTTGTTTGTGCGTGCATGTGTTTATATTAGATTAGACTGAACTGGAATTATCTCCACAGGGATGTGAGGCTGTTGCTGCCTTAAGAATGAGATACATGAAAGAGAATTGGGTTGTACATAAGAGAAGAGCAAGCATGGCTTCTGTATGCAGCACAAACCTCTTATATCTGTAAGAAATGTTTTTATCAGAACAGGCAAATACGTGGAAACTGATGGAAGCGAAAGTATCAAAAGTAAAAGAGCATAGTCAAAGATATTTTAAAGGGGCTTCTTTATTATGCTTTCTTGGGGTTTTCCCTTTTCTGTAGTGTATTATATAGGTTTGTGTGCATTTAAATGGTCTGCAAAGGCTAAAATCCCAAAGCTCCCCCTGCATGAAACTCCTTGATTTCTGTCCCTTGTTTACTTCTGTGACATAGTGACATCACAACTTAACATGTGTGCTACTATTGGATAGCGCTCCCATATCAGACTGCGCTCTGGTTTCAGACAGAGGGTGAAAAGAGGTGCTGCAGTACAGAGAGTAAGAGAAAAATGAAAATGTTTTTGAACATTAAGCATCTAAACATGTCACAGTAGAGGCACAAATAATTTTTTTGCCAAAATAAGCCATAACTCTCAAAGTTGCTTTTGTTTTTGTCTTGAGTGTCTCACCTTGATATTCAGGAAGTATCATCTCCCACATTCTTCAGATTTATAGAAGACGACGTTAACTACACAACGAAAAAAGAGAAAGAAATATTCGGCTTCACTTTTAGTTGGTCCCTAGAAACCTTCACAGTCAAGGAAACAAGATATTTCATTGCTGTTGGCGACAGATAATCTACATCGATAAGCCCCACCCCCCTCTTCTCCCTCTCTCTGATCCCTTACCTCGACTTCACTCTCTCACATCACATCTTTCTCACGATAATCAACTGTGCTTCTTTCTTCACACACACTCTTACACACACGTGTAGGGTTAGTCAGCTTAGTGTGTGTGTGTGTGTGTGTGTGTGTGTGTGTGTGTGTGTGTGTGTGTGTGTGTGTGTGTGTGTGTGTGTGTGTGTGTGTGTGTGTGTGTGTGTGTGTGTGTGTGTGTGTGTGTGTGTGTGTGTGTGTGTGTGTGTGTGTGGTGCGTGTGTGCCTAAAGCATGCCTTAAGGCAAAAGCTGTGATAGACCTTTGTTACACGCTGAAACCAAAGCAGCTCGGGCAGTTAAAAGGAGCGACCTCTTACTGTTGTTATACACCTTCCTATGATAACGCATACGACCAGACTTGTACCTTAAATATTAGTGCAATACCAACTATGGCAAGCACTTACTATGTATTCAAAGGTTTTATTGTCATCTGCACATAAGCTACAGTGTAGAAATGGCAATGAAATTCTTCTGACCTGAGCTGTATGAAACCTATGATAAAATATGGGTGGGATATAATGTAAAACTGTGAAGGGCTTTTGGGAAATTGTATTTGTGTAAGATCGCTATACCAGAAATATGAAATAAACGTTCCTTTTATGTTTGTTTTAAATATATATGAAAACATATGAAGTGTTCCAAAGCTGTATTTTGAGTTATTGGCATATCAACAAATGTTGATTAGATTTTCAGTTTTTCTAACTTGTCGAACAGAACTGGTTTCAGTTTCCTTGGCTCTGTTATTTCCCTGAAAAGGCTTTATAACCCCGGTAAGAGCATTAGTGATGTTGGATGATAAGGCCTTGCTCCCAGTCAGCATTCCAGTTCATCCCAAAGGTGTTAGATGAGGGTTCAAATCAGGACAGGCCAGTCAAGTTCTTCAACACTCAACTACTATATAAGTGGAAAACCATATGGAGCAGGATTTGCATATGGCGATGTTGTCATGTTGAAACAGGGAAAGGCCCAAACACAGCTGTTGGTTTGGCCTAAAAAGACAAGACATTGAGTTAGCATTCTGTGGCAATGCAAGGGTCATATAGGTGGGCCAGTGTGAGATAAAATCCACCATAATGTATTTGGTGCATCCTCACTATTAAACCTCTACTTCTCTCAGTCCAGTACAAATCTGTGTATTCAATAAGTATTTATTTCTTCTTATTAGTTTTACTCTGCTCCAACCAGAAATCTCTCTCTCTCTCTTTCTGTCTATTTCTTTGGTGAGTATTTTAAATCAGGCATCCACTAGCGAGAAAATCTGCCTAGTAACAGGTTCATCTACATGCATGTACACACACACACACACACACACACACACACACACACACACACACACACACACACACACACACACACACACACACACACACACACACACACACACACAGACACACACCCGCTAATATATCTCTGCACATTTCACAACACTGTCTTTTCCTTGTGTCTCTTCAGGGAGTTTGGCTGGAGGGATCCAGAGCTTCCAGAGGTCATTCAGATGTTGCAGCATCAGTTCCCATCAGTCCAGTCCAACGCTGCTGCTTACCTCCAGCACCTCTGCTTTGGAGACAACAAGATCAAATCTGAGGTAATCATTTCTGTTTAATCTAAAACACATACAAAAACGAACGTCCCATTATTTTCTCTAACATGCAGATAGCAATGCAGATACTGCAGTGTTGGATTTTTCTGCTGAGGTTTTAGAAGCTGAACATAGTTTCTGGAAAGGTACAGGATGCTGCTGTTGAGTTTTTCAAAATGGGATTTTTCAGTACTTTGAGTACCACTGGCAAGATTCCAGGGGACAAGAGTTCTTGACAAAAAGTGAGTGGGTGAGTGCACGCTCGCCTGAAAATGTTTTTAATAGTCATGCTACAGACCAACGGAGAAGGAAACCTACCTTACCACAGTGCCTTTTGCCGCTAGGTCCACAATAGTCCCAATTATATCATAACAGAGAAAAATCCAGGAATGTAGAGAGTATATTTTACCAGAAATGTCAAAAATACACACATAAAATGTTTTGGTGATATTTAGACTAATTTGGCTAGGGAGTTCAAGAAGCCCATTTCTTTGAATGTCTTTGTTCATTCAGACTAACCAACAAAGCTTAAAGGGGCCCTATTCTGCTCATTTGCAGGTTCATATTTGTATGTTGAGCCTCTACTGTGACATATTTACATGCTTTAATGTTCAAATGTGCTTTATTTTTCTCATACTGCCTGGGCTGCAGCACCTCTTTTCACCCTCTGTCTGAAACCAGAGCCCAGTCTGCTCTGATTGGTTAGCTGGCCTGCTCTTTTGTGATTGGTCAACCGCTTAGAGATCTCCCACCCCTGAGCCTATCACCTACAAAGTGTTGGAGAGCTAGACAATAGAAGCGCGAGTGTAACTTGAAGTCATTACGTCACAGACCTTGGGACTTAAGCCTTTGCAGATAATTTACATTCACACAAATCTATATAACACACTACAGGAGAGGATCATAAAGCCCCCTTTAACACATTGTTAATGACCAAACATTGAGCAGGCAGGTTATAAGTATGGCTCATTTCAACTGGCTCTTTCATCAATAATGAAAGTTTCGACACGTCTTCATTGAGAGGAAACTCAGTCCCACGTGAGCAGCTGTCTGAGCGCCACCAAACGCACCATTACGCACACTTAACCAAACTCAGAGTGCAGCGCTGTTCCTTCAGTCTATCCTTCTGTCCTTTAGAGCTGTCATCACTCACAAAACTGTTCTGTCTGTCTCTTCAATGTCAACTCCATTCAGCTCAATTCCTCTTTATTAATCCCCATGGAGACGATGGATTTGAGGGCGAACAGAGTACTTCAAACAACAGTCGGCCAACAGGCAATAAAGATAGAGCAGACAGAGAGACGGATGAGACAGAAGACTGATGTTGAAAATGCCGTAGAAGAATAGTAGTATTAAAGAGCAGGGCTGGCAGAATGCAACCCACAGGCCAGATTGTTTTCGTCCTTGAGAGAGATGCCTGAATAATAATAGATGGGATGCAGAGGGATATGTGTGCGGCTCACTGCCTGTTCGGTCTCCTAGCACCTGATGCAGATGAAGTTGTAGAATTGCGTGCTTGATTTATTCTATTAGGCCGCGATCACACAGAGATGCATCGCAACAGGCACAAAAGCTTCAAAAAAGGCCTTAGAAGAGGGTGGTTCCTTGTGCATTTGGACTAATAATATAAAAAAGAATTACATATTTTGCGCCTTACATCATCAAGCTTATAAATAATGGTCTCCTTATCTGCAGCAAAACAGGAAAGGGTTTGTAAGAAACCCGCCTCTTCCTTGATTTGATTTGCTTCCTTGGCCATGTTTGACATTGTCGTTCGGTGGGATTTTGAGCCTTGGACTGCAAAGTTAATAATAATAATTTTAGAATATATATCTCTATCGGCGTGTCAGAAAACTCCATGCCAGGCATTTTTCACCATAGGATAACAATGATTTGTTCTCAATGTGTTTGTCTAGTAATGCGTTAAAAAAACGGGTCCTTCAACTGTGTCATTAAAGGTCACCTATTATACAAAATCCACTTTTCCATGTCTTTGATACATCAACATGTGTCCCCTCTGTGTAAAGAGATTCTGAAAGTTCCAGGAAAAAAGATTCTCTCTCTTTTTGTCCTGATCCATTTATATAAAAACCTGTCTGAAAATGAGCTGATCAGATTTTGGCCACTTTATGATGTCATAACGTTTTGTTGGCTTGTGTAACCATTAGCCAATCAGCTACCCCCCCCCCCACCTTATCACCTGAATCTCCTCCTAGAGCACCATTGTGTTCTTTTTAACCAAATATCTCTCAGAGGGGCGTGGGGAGTGGCTCCTTATTTTCATCTAAAGTAACAGACACAGAATCAGCTCTTTTGAAACAGGGCTGAAACAGAGGGGATTATGGGATGCTACAATGCATGATCTGTTTGGTATTTTGAGCCAAACACTTCAGAGACATGTTTGTATATATCTGAGACCAATAATATATTAATGAAAAACTGTATAATAGGGGACCTTTAAGGCAAGAGAAGACTGAACAAAAGTTACCTCGCATAATTCTGATTATTATATTAAAACTTTCCTTTTCACAGTTTTAATAAACATCTTTACGGCCCTTACTGTTTTCTTTTTTTCTGTGTTTTCCACACAAAATAAGCAATTATAAAACAATCCCTTGGACTATTGGACCTTGTGATGAGCATTTTTCGGATAGACAAAACTTCAATTAATCCAACATAATGATACATTTTTTTGTTTCCTTCTTAATCAAGGTACATCATTAATTATCCTACTTATTGTAATTAGTGTTTTGATTTACTTATAATTGCTTTGTTTTCAAAAATAAATTTCAACCAAGTTTGTTACATATTTATGCAATATCTAACATCATGTCTCTACACAATAATTTTCCAACTGGATTTTGTCATCCAAAGTGAATCATCTGTGATAAGCTTCATGCTGATGTACCTTTATATAGATCACAAGAGACACAATGGGTCTTGTTTTTAAAGCAAGCAGTCTGCCCTACATTCTCTCTTCGTCTAGACAGGGAGCGCAGGGAGGGCTGCAGATAGAGGGGTGATGGGACAGAAAGTGCAGCGGATGGCATTTTAATAAATCTTGCATCAGTGCCACAGCGCACTTTGTTTACAAGTGGTGACAAACGAGAAATTCATATTAACAGAAAATAATTTCTTACAATCAAAAGTGTGAAATTATTTTCTCAAGTGGACAGTAACAAGCCCTGTTGTCTTCTGATATTATTTAAACACCAACATGTGTTGTTCAATTGTAGGGGAAATTGGAACAAATGCACTAATACCGTCCTCCCTTCTCCATCCTCAGATCCGGCGACAGGGTGGGATCCAGCTGCTGGTGGACCTGCTGGACCACCGGATGACGGACGTGCACCGCAGCGCCTGTGGAGCCCTGAGGAACCTGGTGTACGGCAAGGCCAACGACGACAACAAGATCGCCCTGAAGAACTGCGGAGGCATACCGGCTCTGGTCCGACTGCTGCGGAAGACCACAGATGTGGAGATCAGAGAGCTGCTCACAGGTAAAAACTGTTCACGTAAAGTTACTGAATGTGCACCAGGGATTGAGCTATTTCCAAACCTTTCTTTAACACTACCCTGCAGCTTGTGATGCTAAAAGTCTGTCCGTGTAATCCAGGGGTGCCCACACTTTTTCAGCTTGGGAGCTACTTTTAAAATGACCAAGCCCAAAAGATCTACCTACAGGGCCGCCCCTGCCCAATCTGTGTCGCGAGCGCGGGGGGTGCTAGTGGACTAAACGGCGGATAAACTGTGGCGCGCTTAAACTAATTGCGCCGCATAAGCGCATAATAGTGCACCGCATTTGCGCTTCAGATGAGGAGGTGAGGGCCCCTCATAACTGCATGAACCCGTTTGGCACAATACAACTCAGACTGGCTTACCTGTACGTCAATCAAGTGGCAAATGCCATAGTAAGGATAGATGTAGGCTAACTTTAAAGGTCCCATGTCATGCTTTTCCGGTTATTACCCGTCCCCTTGTGTGTTATGAAGGTTTTTATGCATGTAAACGGTGTGCAGAGTCAAAACCCTCAAAGTACACCCTGTAGCGAGTAAAACTCTAACACAGAAAATACCTCCCCCAAAACGCCTCGTTGGAGATACGTCATTGTCCATTTGATTCTTCCGGGACGGGGTGACGTAACCCCGTACCCGGAACGAAATGGACCAATCCGTGGAGCCGTTACGTTACGTCTGCGGAGCCGTTACGTTAAGCCCCCGCTGATTGGTCCAAATTGACCAATCCACGGACTTCCTCACACACACATCTGTGTGCAGGGAGCAGGCAGCTCAGCTGATTTCTCCTCCCTGGCTGCAGGCTGATAACAGACAGTTGGGATCGCGGCGAAATTCTCTCTGCAGACCCATTCTCACAGCGTTTATCAACCTTTTTCGTACTCAATATCAAGCCACACTTATTGTTTTTACTTCGGCTGTGAGTTTGTGTGTGCTCAGGATGAGTTTGGCTGTGTTTCGCTGTGTATGCTAAACAAGGGAACAAAACCTCCACGGCGCAATTCACAACGTCCCGACCAATCAGAGCACACTGTGCTCACAGGGAGGGTGGGGGCTGGAGCTATTGGAGCTACAACGAGCCGTTAAAGGCAGAGAGTGAAATTCAGTGAATACACGTAGTTTACAGAGATGCTGTATGAGAAACCAATGTGAGTTTGGAAAATTGCACAATATAAATCTATTTTAGTATACCTCAACAATGGAATTATGATCAGTGGAAATGGCCATGACATGGGACCTTTCAATGCCATGCAATCTACCCACACTACCTTTGCGATCGACCGGTCAAAGTGCAAAATCTGTAAATGAAAACCCCCATATACTCCTTCATATTGAGTATTACAGTTTGAATCGTTTTGCAAATCTTTTTGGCATATTGTATTGTATAGTATTTTCAAACAATTTAACTACTTTTGGCAAAACAAATGAAAGATGTGGTTATATATAACAAAGACTCATTAGTGCAAGAGCTGTAAAACAGCACATTTCTAAAATACCTATAATTATAACTTTTATTGGCAAGAACTACAGTATATCAATAGATAAGTATGTCACAATCTTAAGAGGAAAATCAAATTGTGTATTTATACAATTGTGACACTGATAATTGTGGAAGAAAATACAGACAGCTTTGTTATTTAGCATTATAGACTTTGTAATGGGCTTCTAAGTACTTTATCAAAGAAGATTGCATAAAATAGAGTTGAATTAATAACATTACTGTATGCAGTTACGTGTTCATAATTAATTCATAGTGAGAAATCATCTTAAGCTCTATATTCCTGTAAAGTATTTATCTATAAATGACATGAAAACTCTCAATCATAATGCAAATATTCATAGTTGCACATACTATATATTAACCACTCACACACAGTACACATCCATATGTTGCCTCTTATGTACACTCAGATAGGGAACATTCACTAAATATCCAGTTATACAACATACAAAACACCCAGCTACACTTGAGCACAAATGCAGAAATTAGTGTGTGAATTGTTTACAAACTGAGATTCTTCGTAAAGGCTGCACTGCATTCTCTTTCTCTAAACACAAATATCATCCACATTAAAGTGTATTCAGGATTGATTCATTTGTGGTTCCAAACCCTTCGAGGTCTTAGTTGTAAACTCACCCCCAAATGGATTATAGGATTACCAACAGTGCCTCCACTAGTGTTTTTTTTAATAGCTTTTACTTTATATTTCCTGGCATTCCCCTTTCTAATTGGCATTCACACTGACGGCCACAGTAAAAGGACTTTACCTCTGGAGAGGGATGGTGAGGCGACAGAACTAAAAGAGGAATACCACTCCATTTTCAAACTGATATACATTCAAAATCCGAAGGAGGGTTTCCTCCATTCCTGGAGCCAAATGAGAAAAAATGAATTTCTGTAATCATCACCCAAGCTCATGAAACATCTCTGCTGTAGGCCTGTCAGGAACATGGTATTTCAGGACATGTCAGAGAGCAAGGTATTAGTTATTCTGCTTGGTTGAACAGTTTAATCACTGTGTTTTAGGGTGGAATTAGGAAAACTGACGCCTTGAGCCACTACCAATTATATTTATGATTAAGCATTTCAACAGATTACAACCATTTAGACCAACTCTGTAAAATTCTAGCTGAGTTGGTGCCGACAGTCGGTACATAAAATCATTTTCAACAATTTAAATCATGAAAGTGAAGGTTTTACCATAAAAACTGTGAAAGTCTTCATCAACAGATGGAGTTTATTAAGATGGATCGATGACATGCATGCTCAGTAGCTGCTTTTCATCTTCGAGTTGCAAGTTCTAAAAGTCATAAAAGTGAAATTAAATTAAATGATAACAGCTACTGACTAACCATATTAACGATCCATCCAAACAAACAGGAAAGGATACATTTGTGAGTATTACTGAGTGAGAGTTTATTTTGTAATCACATTTTTTGGGCTTCGGTGCAGAGCATCGGATCATTAGAGAGGATCTTGTCTATTATTCAAGTTCATTAAAGCTGCATTGCAGTGCCGCACCTTCCATTTACAGAACCTTTAGTCCTCGCACGACCAATTCTACATATATCAACAGTCGTTTCTGTTCCAATGATGTGAACACCTGCCAGTTGCAAAGATGGGAATCTTTCATATCGTTACCTTCCATCCTACTGTAAATGATGCTACATTGTCACATTTATATGTTTTAACCTTTGCTACGTTTATTCAGAGCATCAACACTTTTAGAATATCTCGTTGTTGTCCCTTACAAACGACCCCTTTTTTGTCTGCAACTTCCAGGATTGAGTTTTAGTATATTAACATATAGGCAGGAAAAGAGATTTTTTGTAAGCCATAGCGCAGAAACCAATGTTAGCTTCCTGATTGGGTGTTATAAGTCATAACTGGTCCTTCCCTGACTCCTCACGCACCTATCATGTGACCTTTTTCCAGAAAATAAAACTGCCCTGACTACTAGTGGTTAAGTCAACATGGATAATGGATTTTGGGTGTTTCTGCCCTTGTTGTTTATGCTAGCAGCTGCAGTTAAATCTGCATTTTTTAACCCTACTCCTGTCTAAACGTGAAGGAGGCGAGCTGTTATTCGAGCATTTTGCGACAATTCCTGTGTCAAGCGTCCTTATCAACCCTACATGGAGAGACGGTTTTAAGTGAGGCTGTTTTACTAATGAAGATGCTGTTGCTGTGGTTTTTGTAGTATTTTAAGGGACTAAGCAACCAACCTCGGAATAGACAATATGCTTCCTGTTTGCACTAGCACATGCATGCCTTTTTAAGGGATCTAAGTATGGGCAGAGTTTATTTCTGAAAACACCTTAAATATATTTGTTGGTTTAGTGTGAATGTAGCTTTAGCCAACCAAGTGTCCATCTCCGTTTTCACCTATATCCTGTCCTTGCAAACTCTCTTAAACCACAATGTCCCAATGTCCCACAGGCTGCCCTTGAGCCTTTATCCACTCTCCTAATTATCTACAGCAGTTCTTCACATCAGGGTGACATGAGGTTCTAGTGGGGGACAAACATGTTAAGCATTATTCCTGGTCATACAGTAAGAGACAGTTATGCATACGGACAGTTGCACAGGGCGACCTTATCAGGGAAAGTGAAATTGATAGGTGTCCTCTCCTTTCCCACATTCATCACGTTTGGAGCAGAGCATGACCCACGCCTACACATGTATATATATATTTATGAATGTGTAGTGAGTATAGAAAAGGGGTTTAGGCTTAGCATAGATGGAAATAAAAGGTTTTTTGTAGGCTGCCGGAGTCTTAAAGAAGATTACCATATAAATTAGAGCAGCAATTCAAAGCACGGAGCACAGAAATCCCTCCTGTCACAAATTAATCAGCCGAACGACCGACCGGACGCAGACAGCCCGTGCTCTCCTCTCTTTCTCTCTCTCAAAGACCCCGGAGGAAATAGCTCTCTCTCTCTCCACCTGTTTCTCAGCCTCGCTCGCCCTCCCTCTTATCCCTCTGTGGTTGGGTTTTTCGTAATTGGTCTCCCCTTCTCTTCCTGTCTCTCTCCTGTCCTCTTTGCCTTTCTCAGTCTCCTCTTTTTCACTCTCTTTCTAAATCTCATACCCTCCCTGCCTTCCCCTCCGTTTTCCTCTCCGGTGAGCATTTTGAATCAGGATCACAGCGGGAAGTCAAGCTGCCGGCATTGCTAGATACAGATTCAGCTGCACACACACACACACACACACACACACACACACACACACACACACACACACACACACACACACACACACACACACACACACACACACACACACACACACACACACACACACACACACACACACACACACACACACACACACAAACACACACACACACATTATTTCTCTCCTGCATGCTGCAGTTTCATTGATGGCACACAATCTGACAAAAACAAGGCTGCTGCCCTCTGCTCTTTAGTCTTTCTCCATCTTTCTTGGGGGGTTTCCGCTTTTTTTATTCCCCAAAGATGAT